TATATAAATAGTTATTATACTTTTAGCTAATCCCTCTGCTAATACAGTTATAAAAAATCTTTTTAAAAAAAAATTATAATAGTATTTATATATTTAATTGGGCAGCAGCTGCCAGCCAGCTTAAATTATAAAAATATTTTTATAAAGCTATATTTAAACAGCTAGCTGTTTAAAGTCTAATTATTTAATATATAGTATAAACTATATAACAGATTTACAGATCTAGGTCTGCTTATAATCTAATAAAAACTATAAATTTATTTAAAAAAAAAAACTAAATATTATAATAAATATTACTTTTAAATAATTTAAAAACTAGACTGCAGAGGATAATTTAATAAAAAGTAAAATATTCTACTTTTTATTATTAATTTATTTATAAAAAGCCAGCTAATTCTAGTTAGTTCTAAATATATCTATAAAAAATAAAAAAAATCTGGAAAATATAAAAGCAGAAGCTGCAGAGGCTGCTATAATATTTATTATTATAAACTAAAAAATCTTATTTTTTTATATATAAATAGTAGTATATAAAAAAAAAAATAGTAGTAGCAGCAGCAGTAGAGTTTATAGTAAAATTAAAAACTAAAATAAAAACTAAAATAATAGTAGTAGTAGATATAATAAAAATAAATATATTTATAGTAGTAGTAGTAATAGATCTAATAGCAGCAGTAGTAATAAAAATATTTTTTTTATAATAAAAAAAAATAATAAAATATACTATAAATAGTTAGCTAAATCTAAACCTATTTTATAAATAATTTATATAAAAAAAATAGAATAAAATAGATTAATAGAATCTGTAGATACAGAGCTTAAACAGTATACTATAAAAAAAAATTAGTTAATTTTTATAAAAAAAAAAAAATAAGGCTAAGCCCTTATAAAAAAAACTAATAAAATATTTTAAATACTACTATAAAAAAAATTAGCTAAATATTAACTTACAGAAGCACCTGGAAAAGAAATACTATATAAAAAAACTTAATAAAAAAAAAAAAAAAAAAAGTTGCAGAAAAAAAAAAGGCCAGAGGTCTAAAAAAAAAAGTTTTTTTATATAAAAAAAAATTTTATTTCTATAAAATTAGCTCTGCTAGCTTTAACTGTAAAATATTTTAAACAGCTAGAATAGGCAAATTAAAAAAAATTTAATACTATTTATTAAAAAAAAATCTTTTTAATTATAGAAAAAATTATTTATAGACTATTATAAAAAAACCAGCCAGTAAATAGTAAACTATATACTAGTAGAAAAGTCTTATAAAAATAGTAGTAAAAGCAGTACAGTATACTTTTATAAAAATATAAAATAATAAATTATTTTTTTTACTATTTTAATTTTTTATAAAAATATTTATAAAGTAGAGGTTTTAATAGTACTACTGTAAAAGGCAATACCTTTTTATAAAAAAAAAAATAGTTATAAAAATCTAAACAGTTTTTTTAACCTTTACAGATATCTATAAAAAAAATATATATAAATAATTTAAAGTAGTAGTTATATAACAGCTAATTAAGCCGGCTACAGCCGCCCCTAAAAGCAGCAGCTGTTTTACAAGTTAAATAAGGCAGCAACAACACCTTAAGGCAATATATTGGCACCCTTGGCTTTGCAAAAGCTATTCATTCATCACACTATTTCACCCTTTAGCCCTTATAATAATAGCTTATAAAACTAGTTTTTAAATTTTTTAATTTTAAATATTATAAAATATAGAAATATACTTTATAATAAATTTTAGGGGTTTTATTTAAAAATAATGTATTTTTTTAAAAGCTGTTTTATATTATTAATAACTTTTTTTAACCAAAGATGAATAGCAGTTTTTAAGTATATATATAAACTTTAAAAAAGATTATCTTCTACTACTAATTCTAAAAGATAAAAATTTTATTTTAAAAAGATAAATATAAGATAGGCTTTTAATTTTTTATTATATATATAATCTTAAGCTTTAGAAGAGGTAAAAAAAGCTGGTTTAAAAAACTTATTTTAATTTAAAAATTATTATAGTTTATAAAAATTTAAAAAATAAAAAAAAAAGTTTAATACTATTTTTTTAAAAATAGGATAGACAACTATAGTTAACTTATAATTCTAAAACTACTTTATAAATAATAAATATAAAAAATAAAAATAAAAAAACTTTATAAAGATAATATTATTTTAATTATAAATATATTTTTATATAAATATAATTTATTATATTTTTATATACTGCTGAAGATATTTGTAGTACTTTTTAAACTTAACTATTTTATTAGTAGAAAATTATATTTTAAACCTAAAGATATAAAAATTTTTTTTATTTTAAATAAAGTTTAATTAAATATAATAAATTGAAGTATAAAAAAGCTTTAAAAAGGGCTATTATAAAAATCTACTAAAATTTAGTATTTAGTTTTTAATTAAATAGTTTTTAGCAAATACAGTTACTAAAAAAAAACTAAATAAATAGTATAATACAGATTTTATTTAAAAATTTAAAATATAATATATAATTTAGCTTTTTTAAATAAAAAGAAAAAATTAATAAATTATCTAAACTAAAATTAAAAAAATAAAAAGTAGACTAAAAACTATATAGTTATTTTTAATAGTCTAATTAAAAATAAATATATAATTTTAGTAGTATAGTATATTATAGTTAAAATATATAATCTAAACAGAGCTGTAATTATATATTTTTTTTTATTTTATATTATAATAGCTACTAATTTATAAAAAGCTAAATTCTGTTAATACTATTAAAATTTTTTTATTATTTTTTAAAAATATAGATAATAAAAATATTATTCTTTTTTAAATTACTTTTATTTATTTAAAAAGTTTTTTTTTATATACTTTTTAGTAATAGTTTAGATAGCTAGATTAATAACTACCTAATTTAAATATATCTTAACTATACTAAAACTAAAAAAGATATAGTAAATAGATTTTAGTACTAAAAACAGTTAAAATAGTTAACTATCCAGTTTTTAGCTATACTATAGTTAAATATAAAAATTTTTTTAATCTAACTATAACCTGGCAGTCAGGTATAAAAATTCCAATTAACCTGACCTGACCTGGCTGTTAGCCACTCTAGGTAGAATAGATGCATTAGGTCTGTACTGTGACAATTTTGATGAACTTGCACAAATTTGTGTATATAATTGGATTCCTTTTATCTGCTCTGAAGAGTTGAACGCGCAGTATTAAGAACACAACTATTTTTACAGATTGTATGTATTTTTAGTATATTAGCACAGGGGGCTTCTTCCAGTGATAATTATCCGACACCTTAGTGCTAAAGGGTTAAAAGATGTTAGTCTCTATAGCCAGTTTTAAGCCGCGTAAGGGCGAAGTTAAGTATAGTAACTGATAAACCAGTAATACACACTACCTTGCCTATTAGATAAAGCTAAGATTGTTGTTGTCTTCTTATTTTTACTAATCTGTAAGTGTGGACTGTCTGTGCTTGCTTTACAGCCCAGAAGCTTTTTGAGTACTAACAACGCCCACTGCAAGAGTATCTAATATTTACTAAAAAAGTAATTAATGATCTCATTCTGTACTTAAATTCTTGACCATCTGCGAAGTGGGAGGTAGCCAGTGTGGTAATGGTGGCGGCGTAACTCTTGTCAAATATTTGAAACTATAAATGCAATTGCGTTTGTAACAAATCAAGACTAATTATTGCTCTGCTTAAAATACACTGCATTTAGATATGATCCATCAACACCTGCTATTGTAAGCAGTGTCTGCCCACACGTTGGCCCCGAATGCATAACCCATTCCCACATAAGATTCACAGTACCTATAATGATAATTCTAATAAAGATCCATGTGATCAGAACTTTATTTGGTTCTTTAATAATATGGATACCCCATCCTATCGGAAGGGCAGCAGGCTCGTTGGCCAATTCAATATTAAGCTTTTTAGGCAGTCTGCTTAACTAAATTTTTTTCGGATGCTGTCCACTTGAGTATATTAAGTGTAAAAAGCTTCGAGCAGGTATAGGTGGCGGAGGCATCGGCGGGCTTGGGATAAGCTCCCAGTTGTTCCTAGCAACCTTTCTAGCCGGTGGCCAATATGAAGGCTGGTTGTGGATGTGATCACAATATCGGTCTTCTAAGGTAAACTTATTTATTATTAGCAGGATTCTTTTACAATTGGTATAACTCTTACCTCAACAAAACTGATGTTAGTGGCCTTGACAAGTTTTAACCTAGAACCAATCCGTCAAATGGTGTTATACTTATTTTGGATTGCTCTGAAAAGTTGTTCTTCACTGGTCATAGCAGTGACATCAATTTCCCTCCTTCTGGGCGCACCTGGAGAAGGTGGTATGGCTAGTTGACTTCGACTCGGATCCGTTGATCTGGGGCGTGCACTACTAAATCCAGTAGAGTCTCTGTCAGTTGAGGATGGTTGTGAATGCGCCGGAGCAGGGCATAGTATTTCGGTTTTATTGCTGGCATTACTTTCTGCTGCCAGAAGCTGGGGCTAGAGGCCAATAACAGCATTCAAATCTGTATCTTGAAAATCCCCATATTCCCATTCACCGCAGTCCTGGAAGTTTTAGCCATTATGTATGTCTTTTACTAGTTACCTTGAGAAAAGAGTAAGCTGCTTACACAATCCTAATAAATTCTGCAATAACCGGGTAACACTGACAGCGCTGCGATTCTTTTGATCCAATGCTTTATGCCTCGGATTTTGACACTAGCTCCTTTGCTAAGCAGTATCTGGAGTATTTTTTAATTGCCGGTAGCTGCTGCTGCTTAAAAAGCTGTACTGTATTTTTTTATTATTATAAATATTTATATTAGCTTTTCTATTAAGTAGTATCTAAAGTATTTTTTAATTACTAACAGCTACTGCTGCTTGAAGAGCTGTACTATATTTTCTACTGCAGCTCTTTATATTGGCTTTTTTATTAATTTGTTTAAGTAATCTCAATACAATCTGTATACTTTGTCCTGAGATAGCTGCTAGAAGAGGGGAGCTGTATCATCCACTATTGTTAACGCTGGCGCTTCTTTCTAATAACTCCTCTACAAGTTTCTGGTTATTGGTGGCGATTGCATACTCGAGGATGCTGCCATAGTCTGCAGACTTTGTGTCAACATTCATACCCCTTTCCAAGAATACCTCTATTATATTACCATGGCCGCCGCTTATTCCGCGCCGCATAGCAGCATTGAGTGCATCGGAATATATGCCGCCTTGAGCGTCAAAATCAGCCCCCCAGTCCAATAGTGTTTTTACCACCTTAATATATCCCTGGTCCGCTGCTGATTCCAAAGCACCTCCCAATTGACTATGCCGCAAGTTGACATCTGCGCCTTGCCGTAGTAGAAGCGTGACAATGTTATTCTGGCTGTGCCATGCTGCAGCTTGCAGAATATGTGCAAATCCACTTATATGTGAGTTGGGACTGAGCCCTCCGTTCAATAGTGATTCCATAAGTTGGGTATCTCCATTCTGTATCGCTTCTACAATGTAGTCCATTGTATTTTTAGTTGGAGATAGCGTGGATTTTTTTGCCTGCAAGCTCAAGGCTAGTGACAAAGGACAAGATGGTCCTAAGAATATTAAAAAATATGTTGATTAATAGGAAGCGGAGTTTTACATATTTGATATTTATCAGTCAATTTTCCGGACATTTCTGAGGAGCTCAACAAGATTAATGATGATAGTCGAGCGACATATTTGCTCATGCGTCAGCTGCCCACAAATTCTAGACCTTTTCAATCATCATTAATGAGTCACTGACTTGTAGATTCCCGTATTTTGTTTGTATTCACTGGGCATGGACTGCTTTGACTGCTATCCATGGATTATTACACAGTATATTGCAGCTTGCACTGAAGATACCACCTGTCGCTCGACTTAGATCAGCTACTGAACCAGTTACAGCTCCCAAAGCTGGGTACAGAAGAATACTCTCTCTTATACACCACCTGTTGTAAGAACTTTGCTGGTGGCTATATTGAAGCGGCGGTCCTGTGCTACTTTCATCTAATATAGAAGACAGATATTAGTTTAGAACCATACAACACGTCACTGATACTGGAAATTCTAGATAAAATGGGTCTAGACTCGTGATTGTTCCAAGTATTAAAGTAAAGGATTTGATTAGTGTTGAATACGCGATTTAGCCTTTTCCCATTTTCATTCTAGGATTAGCATAGTGTGGTTCTAGGCCAGGGCTTCCGAAGAATGTAAGTGGTGCACCGGTGACCGGGAGAACAGTGAAGACCGATAGTTAATGGTCTAGAATTAGATAAGATGTCGCCCATGCGGGAAAGTCTAGGAAAACATCGTATTGAGTCCAAGTACTAAAACAAGGCCTCTTATGGATTACAGCTAGCGTATAAGACAATGTTTAGTAATAATACACGGCCTAATTGTTTTCCCAATCTGTTCCAATTCTAGATTACAGCATCTTGCACAACTGCCATACCTACCCCAGACGCTCCAAAATTGTTTCCAAACCCTATGCTATGAGTACTAGCCTGTATATGGTTAGTATCAGACTAGGAATCTCTTGGTATGAAACAAGATACTATGTAATTCCAGGTAAGCTTAAAAGAGTATCTTACAATACATGTAATACTAATACGGAATTCTGGAAGCTTTGACTGATCTACTAAAGCATATGCTATGCTTCTGGCCACTTGTCAACTATCGAAAGTCTAGATTTCTTCATTCCATGATCGAAAAATCTTAGGAAACCAAGCTTTTGTCCTGTGGTTATAGATTGTGATGAGAAATAAACTTCTTCTGCCTTTCATTGCCTTGCCGGCCGATATCCATCCCCACGCTCCAGGTCACTTGGTGAACTTTCCGAAGAAGAAACCACCGCTCGCAACAAGCCTAGATCGCTCCAGAAACATGGACCTAGCTGAGTATAATACGAATTGCATTAAACATAAATGAAAATATGATTATAAAAGGCCGGTGTTATTATAGCAATTGAGCACTTGCTGTCAAGCGGACCCTGTTCCAGCTTTGTCCTGAACTTGCTCTGTCCCCATTTTCTCAACAAAATGGATTTAAGTAACACTCTTGCACTTGTCTCACTAATTCTCACTGCAATAAGCACAATTTCTATTTTAGCAATCATTACAGAGTTATGTCGAACTTTTAAGAGGATTTTGTTTGATCAGGAGAGTGCAATCAACAATCAATGCGGTTCATGGCAGAGTTGCGTCACAAACCGCCACCTACCAGAGCATGGTTTGATGGAAAAGGCAGCCAAGCCTTTAAAGGGTTGGATTCAGAGTGCATATAAGGAAAACATTACTCACAAGATAACCAACTATTACCAAATGACACAGAAGCCAAGCTGGCGAAGATTCACCGAGATCACCCATAACCAGCCAACACAGGGAACAAGTAGTTGGAGCAAATTGCTCGCAAGATGTGGAATAGAACCATCCATGATTTTGGAGCCCGAGCAAAATGACGATTTGACTGATATTCTCATGGAAAACGAACGAATTCTCTATGGAGTTTCAGCAGAAGAATTTGTTGTGTTATTGATACTCGGATCATGGGATACCACTTTTGCACAAAAGCCAGCTGGCCTGTCTATCAGTCATCTGGGCTACATGAGAATATGCGATGGCGGCCCTTTTCGTCAAATTGCGCGCTATGACGACCATGGATACGCCCCTATCACACAATTGACAGCAACCTATCAAGAATTTTTTATACCAATCAAAGCAGCTATTGACTTGGCAATTGGCATTTTCCGCGTCCCTTCTCACATCCCTGATGTGAATGATATGATAATCCTCTCGAACAGGGATTTTTCTGAGGCCAATACACCAAATTCTCTGGGTTCAGTAGCCTACTGGGAATCCAATCCAGATGATAAACAGTTGGAGGAAATTCGCTATTCCATGGAGAAGCTTGTCCAAGAGCCAAGTGCAAAAGTCAATAACTACGCATCCGACGAAGAGAGCACGCACAAAATGGAGATGTTTCAGTCCATCGCACAGCTTCCTCGGACACAACATCAGAACAGGACTGTTTACAAAGCAGCTGCAAGAGTGGCACTACTAATTAGCAGCCTTGAACCGTGGGCAGTTTTGCCAGCCACACCAAAACATATTACTGAGGCTCTTTGTCAAGTACTCAGGACGCAAGTTGAAGGTGGAAACGGGCAGGAACACCTTAAAGCATTTTTGCAGAAAGGGGATTATTCTCCTCCGCCTCACTGGACGAAAGATACAGAAGAGGGCTTAAAAAATTCACTACAGGATATACCACCGATTAAGGACCATTTTTTCTCCGATTCAAGTCACAAATGCAGTACTTACTACACTGCAATGAAAGCAGTCTTCCGAAAGGTGGACTTATCTCAGAGCCGAAACACCAAACATCATCGAGGAGTCCCATTCGATACAGAAAAGTTGATCCGTATCAAACTTGCAACAACACTAGCATCCAAGGTCTTATCAGAAAATACAGAAAATACAGAAGACTGCTTTCCTCGAATTTTCGATTTGCTATGTCAAATTCATAGGTTTCAAGGAGTACATGTTCTATCTCCAACTCTAACTCAAGAGTTAGTTGACATTTATAGCACTTACTTGTATGGATGGTTCGGTGACGCAACAAAAGCTGATAGTGGATGGCGAGAAGCATATCAAAGAAGAATCTTTATTGAATAAGGTGTATTGAGTACTTGATAAAAATTAAGCTAGCCAACAACTTTCTCTCCGATCAATTGCTCTTCCCTATGTTGTGTTTGTGCGAATGTACACCAGCTTCGACCGGTCCCAGTAACCGAGGTCTAAGATCAGTAGCTTTCCTGTTTTGGAAGCAAAGAAGCTTGTTATCTTACGTAAATGCATTTGATCGAACTCATGTGGTGATGATTCTTGTGGTAATGGACGAGACTGTGAAACAATCATGAATGGAAATGTTTTTGCCCAATACCCTGAACACCACTTCTAAGGCCGCGCAAAATCATCCTTCAGACTGGCACAAATTAAAAAGGACAGATGATTCGTTCGAGTGTGTTATAGGTGATTGTAATCAGAGAGGGTGACCTGACTTGTTTGTAATTGAAAAGAGCAACACCGGCTTTAGAAGCATCGAGTTCTGTATCATTTCAGTCTAACAACAGGCTGAAGCTTGGGGAACTTTGATAATATAACTAAATATGGCTCTCGAACGGCTAGGTCCAACTAATATTATCCTCTTGTGTATAATGATTATGAACATCAAATCTCATTTTTGTCCTTTTCGGCCTGCAGTACATTTATGTAACTTTTCAATAAAACCTTCCAATTTCCTGCAGGTTCTAAAAAACCATGGATATTAGACCAGCCACTTGCGAATAATTCCTCATGTAATCTACTTGCAAGTAGTTCTCCATTATTGTAAATATCAATATTAGAATAAAAGCTTTAGAAGATATAAAAGAATACTGTGGAGATTTAAGCTAATACACATTGCTGATCCGCCTGGATCATGGGGGTTATGTTTAAGAATTAACATATCTTGAGTGGCTTAACCTGACTGTTATACCTTAACCTTAACCTAACCATAACTATATAGTTTTAAAATATATAAAATTTTTGACTGTACAGTTAAAATTAGATTAAAATATAACTGCCCCTTGAAATATTTATATCTGCTGGTTAAAAAAGTTAGATATAGCAGATAGATTATTAACTACAGATTAATTAGTAATATATATTTTACTTTTATATATATTATATATAAGATATAATATATTTTTAATTATAGTATAGTAATATTTTTTAAATTTAACTAATTTATCTTATCTGCTTTATCTACTTTATTTATTTTTTTAATAGATATACTATACTTGATAAAATGCTTTTACAGAACCTAGTATAATAAAAATAATATCTAATATTAAATTAATATATTAACAATTTTATACTACTTTTTATACTGTTTAAAATAGTAATTATATTAATATAAAAATTATAAAGGCTGGGCCTTTATCTCTATCTAAATATATATAATATTTAAAAACTTAAATAAATTCAGCTCTTTTAATTTTTGTAATAATCTATTTTTAAAATTATTTTTAAAATTATTTATACTTTTATTTTTATTAGTATAAAAAATAGTAATAATTTTATCCTTTTTAACTCTTTTAATATAAAGATAATTAAATCTAAATTAAAATTATTAAAAATATTTTTATACTTTTTATTAATTAGAAAATAATTAGTATATATTTAAAGTATAACTGCTTTAATTATATTAAAATAAAAATAGTTTTATTAATAATAGTAGATATTTTAAAAACTATTAAATTAATATTTAATACTAATACTATTAATTACAACTAAAAGAAAATCTTTAGCTATTTAATAAAAAATAAAAAAACTAATTTTAGCAGAACTTTTAGTACATAAAAATATTAGTATATTTTATAATATTTAAAGTAGTATTAGTATAGGCTAAAATATTTTAATAAACTATATATTTTTAATATTTAAATATATTTTTAGTTTTTTAAACTTTTTTAGTATAGGTGAAAACTTTTAATATTTAAAAATATTATAAAAAGCTTTATTTAAGCCTAATAGAAATCTAAAGACTATTAATAGTACATTAACAACCGAATTTTAACTGTAATAAAAATAAAATATTTTTTTAATAATAATTTAGTACTTTTTATATTAGTTAATATTATTATTTAATTATATATTCTTTTTAAACTTTTAAATTTTAATATTAGATTTAAAATAGTTATAATTATATAAATATAGCCTTTTATTTAGTAAATAGAATAATAGTATTTTAAAGCTTTTAGTATATATTTTATAAATTTTTAAAAAAAAATTTTTAAAAGTATCTACTTTTATACCAGTTAATTAATTAAATAATTTAAATAATTAAGAAAATTATTATAAATATTATAAACTTTATAAACAGTAGGCCTACTATTTTTAGATAAATAAAATATAAAAAACAAATAAAAGCTTAAAAAAATATTTTATTTATTTTTATTTAATTATAGTAGAATAAAATTAATTAATATTACTATAGTTACAGTACTAAATAAAGCTTTAAATTAATTAATAAAATTTAAATATTTAGTAAATTATAAAATAAGTTAAGTTTTAGCAGATTTTACAGTTAAAAAAAATAAAAAATTAAATTAAATTTAAAATTTTAAATAAACTAAAACTTTGTATAGTATTAAAAACTTATATTTATAAATTATATAATTTTCTAAATTAATAATTTAAAATTAATATAGTTAATAAAAAGATTTTAAAAGCTGTTTATAAAAGATTTATATAAATAATTTTAAAAACTATTTATAAAAGGCTAATATAAATAATCTTGTTAAAAATTATTTATATAAGCTTTTTATAAACAGCTTTTAAATATTTCTTTTTAAAAGTTTTTAAAATATTAAAAAAGATTTTAAAACTATTATTATTATTTTTTTATATATATTTAACAGTACTGTTTAAAATATTAATCTAAAGTTTTTATAAAAAAGTATAAACTATAAGCTAAATTATATAAATAAAATAAAAAATATAATATTAGCTTTAAATAATTTTTACAAAATTAGAATTAGTTAAAATATTATAAAACTAAGTACTTTAGCTAAGCTAAATTTAAAGCTTAGATAAGATTATACTAAATATTTAACTATTATTACTAATATTATTAATTATTATATTAAATAACTAATAAAAAATATTATATTTATATTGTAAGGGCCCAAACAGCCCTTCCAACCTTCACGGATATCTGTAAAGGGAAATGTATATAGATAATCTAAGATAGTAGTTATATAACAGCTAAGTAAGCCGGCTGCAGCTGCTTCTAAAAACAGCAGCTGCCTTATAAGTTAAATAAAACAGTAATAATATTTTAAAATAATATATTAATATTTTTAGCTTTATAAAAGCTATTTATTTATTATACTATTTTATTTTTTAGCTTTTATAATTTTATTATTTAATACTCTGTAGAATAGCCCAGTAAATAATAGCCGGCTATAATATATAAAACTAAACTAAAAGTAACTTTTCTAATTTAATTATAAAAAACTATATATTAACTGCAGAAAATAAATTATCTATACTAAAAAAAAAATACAGATTTTAATTTAAAACTTTTATAAATATTTATATTTATTTAAATAGATTACTAAGCTGTAAAAACAGCTAGAGATTAGTACTATAAAAAAATATCTATATAAAAATCTAAAAAACTTTAATTCCAGTACTGTAAAAACTAAAAAAACTAGTATATATATTAATTTATTTATAAATAAAAAATAATATAGTATCTGTAACTATACTATTTACTATATATTTATTACTAAATAAAAGTTAACTGTAAAGACTAATAACTAAAATAAAAGCTAAAAAATATATATTATAATAGCCTATTTAGATTATATTTTAAATAATTTATAAAAAGGCAAGGCAGCCGAATCCTACTGTAAAAAAAAATAGACTAGCTTTTATAAATTTTTTAAAATATAACTAAAAAATCCTATAAATAGACAGTAAAAAGCCTAGTTAAAAATATTTAAAACTAAGTTTTATAAAAAAAAACTAAAGTTTACCTATTTATAAAAATAAAAAAAAATAAAAACTAAATTAGATTATAAAATATAAAATATTAATATTATATAGCTATATTTATTTTTTATATTTTTTTTTTTATAGTTTAGAAAAAGATCTGTAAACAGCAGATTTTTTTTATAATTAAATAAAATCTTATTATACTACTTATAAAATTATACCCAGTACTAAATTAATAATATAAGTAAATAAAAAATAAAATACTTTATAAATAAATTTTAAAAAAAAGTTGCAGATCTACTGCCTTTATAAATAAAATCTAAAAACCAGAAATCTAAATTAATAGTTTTATAAAAAAAGTTTAGAGGCTAAAATAATTTTTTTAATACTATAAATATTTATAGAGGCCCCTAGATTAAAAGCTTACTATAATTATAAATAAATAAATTACTAAATAAAAAATTACTAGTTAACTAAACTGCTTATAAAATAATTAGTAGATAAAATTACAGTATCTGCCTTAAACTAAATTAAAATTATAATTTACTTTAATTTAAGATTAAAAAAATAGCTAATTCTCTATAAAAAAAAATATTTTATAAAAATAAAAATTATTATAGATAGTAGAGTAAAAGTAAATCTAGTATCTATAATATTTACTAAATAAATAAAATAGTTAACTGTTTTAGTAAAAATAATTATAAAAAAAGTTAGATAAAAAAGTATATAATTAAAAAAAACTATAGTATTTATAGTATATTTAAAAAATATTTAAAAATACTGTAAAAACTAAACAGGTCTTATAATTATAATATTAAAAATAAATAAAATAATTTTAAAAATACTCTAAATAAAGTAGTAAAAGTTTACTATAAAATTTAATAAGTATAAACTCTAGTTTTATAAATATTATATACTAAAAATACTATAGATTGCAGTAGAAAAGATTATATTAAAAAATCTTATAAAAATAAATTTTTATTTAATAATAGTATAAAAGGTTTATAAAATAACTACTAACTAAAAAATACTAGTATAGTATTATAAATATAAAATAGTATTTATAGAAGAAAAAGCTGTAAGCTTATTTATATAAAAACTAAAAATAAATCTAAAAATTAATTTTTATA